TGCCAAGCATTGGGCCTCACTGAGCCTACGCAGCCTGGCAATGGCGAATGCTGTGGCAGGCTTCTCGTGTCTTCTGTGTCCACTTGAGCTTTTGCTCTCTCATGCCCCTCAGCTTATTAGAAGATGTTACCAGGACCCCGTAGACGTGAATCAAGAGTAGTTAGGTTCTGCCAGTTGCTGTGCTACAAAGCGCGCCTTAGACGCTGGCTCAGGCAGCCCCGTTGGCCTGCATCGCTGTTATGAGCAGCAACTGCACTCTTGTGCCTTATGCAGCAATGGCTAGGTGCATAGTGTTTGGTTTTCTGGGACATGAAGTTGGTGGATTCTGCCAAAAACAGGCAAATGAGATCCACAAGTTCCTGCAGCGCATGGAGGTGGAACCTGCTGGAGACAATCTTGCCATGAATGCTGCCAACACTGCTGGTGTTCGTGTGATGAACATGGGTGCCACTTGCATCCAAGTGTGGCGTTGACGGCAGGAAGTTACAGGGCTGGAGAGGCGCGATTCTTATGACTCATATTGCGGGCAAAGATTTTTGAGGTCAGCAGCTGGTGTGGCAGCTCTGACTTTGGCACAGCACCGGGGGCATGAAGTCATGATGCTTGGAGCCACACGTGCTTTTTTTTTCATCCTGCCTGACATACCTGAATCGGCTAACCGCATAATGCCATTACCGCATCAAGTTCCAAAGTCTGGCAAGCTGAGGACGGCTTTTGGGCTCTCTGACGCATCGCTTGGTCTCCTTCCCTTGTCGATTTTGGCCTTTGCTTGTTCCACATCTTTCGTCTTTTGACTGCACCCAAAAAACCCAACAAACATTAGCAGCATGGCTCGGGCCAACAAGTTCTGAGGCGGGGGTTGCCCTTGCTGCGCGTGCTTGCGATCAGAGTGAAGGGACATCTGCGCCGCTTGTTCGCAACACAAAGTGTTGGAGTTGGAATCAAAGATTCCCCTTGTTGATTTTCTTTCCCTGACACTTTGTGCGCCAGAAAGACATATTTAATCTACAGCTGCCACTTCCAGTGCCATAGCTTCTCAGAACTCAGGCATGCCACGGCCTGGGCCAGCGACGAGTGCATCCTTCCAACACGGATCCCTGCAGCCTGCTGTTGTCGGCGACGACTTTCGGACATATCAGTGCGTCTCAAGTCTTGGGCGGGTCTCTGAGCTTCGCCTCTTTGTGCGGATGCTGTGTTTTGTTCGAACGCCTGATGAGCGCGCTGTGCTTCCTCAGGTGTATAAGCACTGGCTCCTTTGTGCTAGCGCCCTTTACGCAGCTCAGCTACCGTTGTAGACGTGTGCTTTTGGCAAGCTTTCGGTGTCCAGGCCATTTTCAAGTCTTGTGTTTATGTACAAGGATCACGAAGTGATGACTTCGTCTTAGTCATAGTCGAGACTCAGGGCACCAGAAGTGCTGTTGAAGGACGAGTAGGTACCATCAGAGGCAGGTCAAGATGCAAAAATCTGAAGATGAGTGGTTTCACTGCAAACTGCCGAAAGAGCCAGAGCAAGCTTTAACGAAAGGAGGTCTACGGCCAGGGCTGCCGAGGTTTGGGGAAAGCTTCTAAAGCGTTGCTTCTCCAAACACGGTGGCAAGCATTCAACACAAGTCAAGACTCAAGACCAGAGACCCTGCTGCAAAGGACACGTACACCTTCTATGGCCGACTCAGAGAGTCAACCTCACAGCAACCCTACTTTGCCGCTATCTTTTTTCTGGGAGCCGCGCCTTGCCTTCGAACGTTCCACTAGCTTGTACTTGGATATATTTCTAGGTCAAGTTTCGTTGGGATGGTCTGCAGGCTACTGCCATGGTCAACTGTGCTGCTCTTGTCGTGGACCATTTCCGAATCAAGCTGCCGGAGCTGGGGGATCGAAACCTGCGCCTCAGCACGCTTTCCAAATGCCTGCTAGTGTTCATGAAGCTACGTGTGTCTTGGCAGGCTAACTGGCCTAACTTTTCTAGTGGAGCAGGGCATGCAGGGCTCATATGCAACACCTGGAATGAGGGCATTCGGAATATTGTGCTGCGGCAAAACACGCCCTATTCCTCCGGCAGCAAAGACTGGCGGTGACGAGTACGGAAAGCACGAAAACAAAACGCGTTCTCTCAGGTCCTGCAAGTACCTGTTCTGGTCACAACCCACATGGACATCTTCTGGCTGGACGGGTTCTTATCAGAGCTCCCGTCAACGGTGCGGATCTTAAAATTTCACTTCCATTCAGCAGAGAAGGTTGGAGGGGTGCATGTTTGGCACCATGGACCATGGCCTTCACACAAACAAGTGCTTGATTGGTGTGGTAACTGAGTAGTGACAGAAGTGGCACTGTCAAACAGATTGTTGCGTACTGAAGGTAATTCCTGTGTGGATATGTGCTGAGCCATTGATGTGCCCCTCGAAGTGTTCGTCTTCGCTACACCTCGGGGGGAACTGTACTTACAATGTTCCTGATTACCAGGGCTGTTTCTGCACCTTGGCCCAAGAAGCGAAATTGGAGAATGGAATCCAAGAATGGATTTGCAGACGCCAAGGCAGGCACCGAGTGGCTGGAATTCCAGATTTGCGTGGCAGTTTCCTGGTCAGATGAACTGGTTCAGATGCACGTGTTTTCATAAGATGCATGCGCTTCTTCTTGTTGAGTTAGTCTTGATATGTATGTGCGCCTCCCAGGATTGCGAGTGCTTGGCAATTGTGCGATCTCCATAGTGGTCATGATCCTGCTATCAGCATCAAAAATGCGTGCAAGAGGCTGGCGTATTGCTCTCACATCATTCGAGTAGTTCCGGCTCATTCTTCAAGTGGGTGGACTTCGAACCGCACTTCCTTCTGCCGCGAGGCATTTTTGATATGCCAGAGCTCTCTTCAAGAGCAGTGGCGTGTGTCACCATCTTGCCACCGCTTCTTTTCGCCTCTTGACCGCAAAGGTTAGCTGAATTCGAGATACATGTTGAAATCCCCAACACGTTTGAA